AAGCCGGGCAAATACACTCCGCGCAATTACTCTCGCTCACGTCGGATATTAATTCAGCGATACGGCGACATTGCGACACTCCAGGGTACCACATACGATTGCACCACGTTCGCGACGCTAACGACGAAGTTTCTCCGCGCGAGATACATTAACCGGGATGCGCCGTTATATCCGTCATAGTTACAGACGCGAGTAAAACGTAAGGCAAAAAGCCGAGTGATGTATCGACCGCCGAAATAATTTACGTCGTACCTACCTGCCTGCCTACCGTCACTCTGCGCGCGCATTTCCTTTTACGGCAATATTTCTCTATTAAACTTCGTCGCACGCGCGTGATGCGTTTTATTGAAGAGTGCGACGGATGGACCGTGCCGGACGTGTAGAACGTAAATCCTCATCCAAGGCAGGCAGATACGATTTGCCATTGTCGGCGCGTATCATCGCCGCGACATAAAGAAGAAATCATAATGCGGAGGATAACGCGGCGTTAAAAAACGAACGGGTGACACGTCGTGGCGAAAGAACCTTCGAGAGACCGACGATTTAGATCGCCGATTAGCTCGATCGTTGTGCATACCTCGCCCTTCAGGCGTCTCCCTGTGCTGCCTCCATCTCCAACCCCTCTTGATTCGGATGAGGTTCGTATTCAAATCCCTTCTCCTTTTCTTGCGAGGCGCCGCGAATCGCATTAAGAGCCCCTCGGGGGTACATACAGGACGCGTGTAAAACGCACCCACAACAGCTCGTTAATCTTTCCGCATCTTTCGCGGGGCTCCTCTTTTCGCTCTTCAACGCGCCCTTTCTCTCTCTCTCTCTCTCTCTCTCTCTCTCTCTCTCTCTCTCTCTCTCCCTCCCTCCCTTTTCTCTCTCTCTCTCGTCTCCTTTTCCACCGACATTCACCACACTGTCTTTCCTCTTTCTCACACGAGCAAAGTGGCAAAAAAGAAGAGGAAGAAAGAAAGGGAGAAACAGCGAGAGAGAGAGAGAGAGAGAGAGCCCTTTCAGAGCACGGAGGTCGCAAGCATGACTCCTCCGCGTGATGCCGAAGGAATACACAACCCGAGCACTTTGCGCGCCGTCAAGACGTTTAACGTACCCGTAGGATCTCTCTTATGCAGCTTTTATCCTTGAAAGAACGCGTCGCGACGAAGAGACAGGGAAGGGAACGGGAGAAAAAGAGAGGGCGAAATCGAAAATATGTGGAAACGAGATTAAGCTACTACCTTAGAATATCTGAAATAGTATAAAAAAGTATAAAAAAACAAAATGATGTATCCTTCCGAGGGACAAAGTATTTCTTTCATTCTCGACTAAGTCTCATTTAAATGTAAATGTAAATTACATCTACCTTTTGCCACCGGATTAAAATTACGATACTTGGAGCAGAAGTTGCAATTTTTCTCTAAAGCCAAATTGCGTCTAGTTCATGTTTAATAGATTATAAGCTAAACGACGACATATCTTATTATAATATTTGATTGTGTAACATGTGTAATTGAGCTTAACATTTATAATTATTGTAGTCACATCTTGTGAGAGAGAGAGAGAGAGAGAGAGAGAGAAAGAGAGAGTGAATACGATAACAATAAATAAACACTACTTATTCAAACACTTCCGAAAACTTAGAATCGTGAAGGTCCGATGACTTTTTTGTCGCGACCGATGATTTTCGTTAAGCGGCCAAAAGACAGACGAGAGCGTTAACGTTAGAGAACGCAGTCCTCTGCGGCGTACTTTTACCCCTTGTAAAAATTATCGATCCCACAAGTGCGCTTTCGGGAGCCCGCCGGCCGTTTAAACAATTTCATCCGCCGGCGGTGTAACGAACCGCGTCGCGGTTTCCGAGTCTCCTCTCTTTTTCGCACGAGGCGAGAAAGTTGGATGTGGATTTTCGGACGTTTCCCTAAGGGGATAATCCGCGGCAGATCTTAGGAAATATTCAACGGCGAATATAAGTAACCAGCAGAAACTGCGGTAGTTAGGACGCTGCGCTGCGGGGGTGGCGTTAATTAGTAATGTCGAGCACGGCGCATTCCCGTGTTCTGAAAAAGGAGTGTCACACAATAGCGTCGTCGTCGTCGTCGTCGTCGTCGTCGTCGTCGTCGTCGTCGTCGTCGTCGTCGTCGTTGTGTCTTTATCTCCATGGCGTCCGCTTAAATTCCGGACTGTATTAAAATCTGTGTCCCGCCGCTTTAATACACCGCTTAACAACGCCGGGTTGCGCAGCAAGTTTTACGAGCTACGCTAAGATATACTCGCGCCGCTGGCGATGTATAATGCACTTTGCTGCATCGCGCGAACTTGAGAGTTCATTCTGGGCCGCAAAAAAACCGCCTTGAAAACCGACGGATCGAACAGCCGTTGCGCGAACTGCCTCGTTCGTATTATTACGGACGAGGGAGCTTGCGCAAGCTCCCTCTCCCTTTCTCTCTCTCTCTCTCTCTCTCTCTCTCTCTCTCTCTCTCTCTCTCTCTCTCTCTCTCTCTCTCTCTCTTCTGTTCGTATGTTTTTCTCTCTCTCTCTCTCTCTCTCTCGCTCTCGACAATTGTGATTTGCACGGATTCTGCGTGTTTCTATTCGTCGTTTCTTTCCCCTCGCGCCGCAGCAGCCACCCGTTCAAAAAGCGCCGACCGTTTGACATTTTAATAAGAACCCGTCGGTCCATAATTTCTGCGCGATCACCAATCAGGAACAAATTGCGTTAGCGTCAGCGATGTCAAAAAGACCGGCTCTTTATTCGCTGGCCGCGAGAGACGGCTGTAATTGCTTTGTAATCGGTGAGCACACAATCGAAACCGAATTGAGTCGAGGGCCGTTTGGCGTGAAATTGCTCGTATTGGCGGCATTAGGTGGTCCACTTGCGGCCGAGCTTCGGTATTTCTACGTTGCGGTCGTTATGCCGGCGCAAAAGCAAGATACGAAAACGGGCTGCGAGACGCGACGCAATGCGAAACGCGTTTATACGTCCGGATGGAAATTAACAAGATTTAAGCGGCTCTTCCGCGATATCGCTCGATAAATTTTCCGAACTCCTGCTCTACCCCACCCCCCTGCCGTCTCTCCTAACCAGCCCTCTCCTGCCGCTCCACCTGCTCCTTTCCCCATTCCCCGAGCGCGATCGAGAGACGTGTAACAATTAAATTCACGTTAATCGTGTTGAATTGCGGGCCATCGGGCGGTTAGCGGAACGTTACTGTGCAATTTTTCCGCGCGCTGATTTCCCGCGAGTTATTCTTTTACTATATTATTCGGTTTGCGCGAATGATATTTAATCGGTCAATTAAACTGCTTTGTCCGCGGAAACACGGGATTTCGTGTTGCGCGTCTCTCTTTCTTTCTCTCTCTCTCGTAGCACGAATGTACGCGTTACCACTTTGCCTTCGAATTTATTTTTGTTTCTCTTTCTTTCTCCTCCTCTACCCCCTTCTTTCCGTTTTTGTCCGCAATCGAAAGACAATTTCCGTGCGAATCGATATCGCGACGGCAGCGGGGCGAATGGAATGCGTGTAATAATAGATCGCGTCGATGTTCTCGGTTCACAGGATTTTAATTAATACCCGCTGCCATACGAAATTTAACACGAATTAGTCCGACACAGTACATTGATTATTCTCTCGTTAATACAATCAATGTATGTTCGTCTCGTTTTTGCGCATGTTGTCTTTGAACTCAATTAATTATACTCGTATTGCCCCCCTCCCTCCCTCGCCCTTCTCTCTTTCTTTATGCCTGTCTCATTCATAGTTATAAAGATAGTACCGGAGAAATTTCTTCCGCGGGATACTTTAATGCGCTTGAAATCGCGCAAAGGTGTTATCGACGTATCTTTATTAATATACTTTTAATCACCACGGACGTTTCGCGCATCGCAAAAGCTAAAGCATTTTGCCCGGCGAAGAGAAGATACGCTCTCCGCCGCGTGTTAGTGCGCACCGCCCCCGATCAGATTCGCGGAGATCATTCGTCATAGAGATTTCACGAATGCGGAACGAAGTGTCGGCGAGTACGCGATACTTGTCGAGTTTCTTCTTCTTCTCTTGCAGGAGAAGCTACGAACAAACGAAGGGAGGACAGAAAGAAAGAAGGAATAAATCAAGGAAGCACATTCATCCGATCTCCTCTCCTTTTCCCCTCCCTCTCGAACGCAAGCTGCATTTTCCTGCCGACCGATCGACGGCGAGTACGCGCGAACGTTAAGTGAGAAGGATTTACTTGTTTGGTTGGTAAGAATTTACATCGCGGTTCCGGCTGGCGTGAGTGCCGCAAATTTGAATGACGATAATAAATCTGTCAATGGGAAAGCATTTTCCCGATCGCGGGCAGGTAATCGCAATGGCGAGAAAAACAGTCGAACGGAGCGCGAGCGTGCGCTTACATCGTGAATTCGACGGGCCGAGGGAGGGAGAAAAAAAACAGAGGAACACTCGGACGTGACGCGTTTAATTTTAGGCGACCTGCTGAATCGCCAGGTAAGCCAGGAAGATAATGGCGTCCTCTCAATGAGAGGACACGCGAGCAAAAGTTCCACTCCGCCAGCTAGAGAATTCGCCTCTCGCTTCTCTCATTCGCAGTACGACGTCGGTAAAAATGTACACGCGAAAAAGAAAAGCCCCGTAGATGTTGATTGCTACTCTTCCTCCCTCTCCCTCACCCGCCTCTTCCCTTTCCGAAGACGTGATATTCCCTTACCTCCAAAGATGTGATGTAACGAAAATAGCTCGTGCTGATTCAATTACGCAAATTCCTGCAGAGCGACGACAAAAACGAAAGGATAAAGAGTCGCGAGAGGAGGCGATAGCGGCGACAGTTCACGCCGCGGGCGAAATCGTCCGTCGATATTCACGCGTTGATCGTCCAATTGTCTGTGCAATCTTAGCCTCTTAAAATCTCTTCATCCTCTCTTGAAACGTTATTCGACTCTCTCGCGACGACGTCCTGTGCGTAATTAACATGTGTTGTATTTTTTTTCTTTCCGTTCAAATTGTATTATGATGTGACAGCAGGAATGTCATGACGAGGCAGCTAGGAGCAGGACGCTGGACTTTAAAAGCCTGGATGGAGGGTGCAGGACGCGTAAGCACAGGAGTAACGATGCATCGTGTGTTCCAGTTGCATGAAGCACGGTAGTGCCGCGACATTATGAAATAATAAAGATATACATTTCATGTGTGTACGTTTCTCTCTTTCCCCAACGCTGATAAAAAATGTAAGTAACAAAGAGACAGATGAAGAAAGAAAAAAACTTGACGATCCATTTCTATCCCTGTATGCTTGTATTAAATATACTCATGTTATAGAAGTCCTTCTCAGGGGAAATCTAACACGAACAAAAAATGCCATTTAGGACAATGTGGTCTGCGTAATAAATTTTTAATCTGTTAACACGAAACCAAAATCTCAGCTCGGGCTGGCTGGAGAGTACACGCTCGTCGTCGCCGCGCGATCGTCGTTGCTCCCGTCGCGACCGTGTTGTCATCAATCCGAGAGCACGTCGTGCGTGACGTAACGCGAATAATTAATTGACATTGCGCGTCCTAGAAATTTAATCATGTATATCGGATGAGAACACACATCGTCGCTCCGTATCTCGAGACCTCCCGCGGGTTGTTTCGATATTTTCGGGATTGTGGCTGCGCCTTCGTTGTCGAAGGACTCGACGTCGGGGTGGCTTGGGAAACTGAGAGACAGAGAGAAGGAAAGGGGGGGAGAGAGAGAGAGAGAGAGAGAGAGAGAGAGAGAGGAAGCTTGCGTCGTACACAGCCGCAAAACTGCAGCGTCGTACTTTTCCGCGGCTCTCCCGAGAAATTCCGGTTTAATGCGTCCCGAATTCTACAGTCGGCATCGCGCAGCACAGCGGACTACGCGTCATTTAATTTTACGAATGCGCTACTATCGCGGTCGTCGCTGCTGCCATGGGGCCAGTTCGCATGGGAGAAGCCGAGTGATGTGCGATTCCGCGAGAGATTTAATTATACGCCGCGCATTGTCAAGTATTTCGCGTGATTAAGATAACGAGCGATTTTAAGTGATTGCGCGCCACGCTACGCCGCGTCGACCGATTTATCGATCTGGCCTCATCATCGCACGCAATCCAGTCGCTTTTAGCTGATTGCGCGCCAGCCACGGCCGCCGAGACGCGCGGAATTCGATGATTTAATTCTTAAGCTCGCTCCCCTCCCCCTCTCTCTCACTCACTGTCGCGTTTCTCCTTCACGAAACCGCGCGTGTCTCTGATGACATTATCCGAAGCCCCGAAGCCTCGAGAGTGTTGCCGAGGGTAGGAGTATATAAAAACAGTTCAGTCGCGCCATGCGTGAGAAACGACGCCTCGGAAGAGTGATCTGACAAAAGTCCAAGATCCGCGGAAACTTCCAGGCGGGAGTACCAACAATTGCGGTCTCTCTTCCTCTTTTTCTTTCTCCCTCTCTCTCTCTCTCTCTCTCTCTCTCTCTCCCCCCCCCTCTCTCTCTTTCTGTCGGAGAACCGGGTCAGCAAACTGTGCTCGGGGTCGAATCGGTTTGTGTGCGCAATGTATCAATGTCGTTTTTCCCGGGAGTTCTTATCTCTTCGTTAGTTCCCGGCGCATTCCCGTGCGTTCCGAGGATTCCTTCCTTAATAGACGCGTCGGAGAAAATTCCCGAACTCAATATTCGAACCCGCTTCATTTACTGCCCTCCCTCGATTCATTCGACGGCAGATTTTGAAGAAAACGGCCGCAACATCTCCGCTACGGGGGACATCCGGGACATCGGGACATCTATGGGAGAATATTATCGAGAAACGTCGCTATGAAAACGTCACCGAGGTATCGTCGTCGGACTCAAAAGAGTACCTGCTCGCCAGCACTCAAAGTCGAGGTGCTCCAAATGCACCGCCGAGAAGCCGGAAAGGAGCTGCGCGCAACTCGATTCGCCGCTAATTCGCGCGTCACCATTGTGCACGAGAAACGCCTCACGGAAGAAGAACGGAGAATGGTGCGGAAAGGCTCGATTTGGAGCGCAACTTCAGCGACGGCCACCTATCCCGGGCGGCGGCGTAGCGAGAGCGCGCGCGATAATTCACTCTCGGTCGTGCGGCAGTCTCTGGAAATGGAGTCACCACCCCCGACACAGAGCGGGCTGGAGGCAGCCCGGCTTAAACGGGTTTGTATCCTCGATGAGGGGCAAATTAGGTTAGCGCGAAAACAACCTATACACCTCGGCCGGCTCCTCTCTCTCTTTCTCTCTTTCTCTCTCTCTCTCTCTCTCTCTCTCTCTCTCTCTTTCTCTTCCCTACCACACTCTCTCATTCCTCCGATCTCTCTTTCTCTCCACCGCTCTCGTCCTCGCAACCATCTCTTCTCTCGTTGGCGCGATGCCGCTGTCCGACGTGTATAAATATGTATACGTGTTTTACGGCGACCTACTACACCACGGAGAGTGACGACTCGCGGAAGCGTCTACGGGAAGGGCGAAGGGGCAGGAAAACGCGGCGAATGAGTTCTGTGGAATGCGAGACAACGGCGCGAACCGGACGGGCCGGCTGGCGCGGCGTGTACCCGCGGGAGGAATATTTCGCGCGTTTTCCATGCTGACAAACGACTTTTAGGGAATTCAATTTTTCCTCGCGGTCCATTCGCTCTCAGCGCGGCGCTGTTTTTTTCTGCCGCCGGCAGTCTCCCGGCGTATCTCTCCTTTTCCGCCCTCGTTCCTCTTGTCTCTCTCTCCCTCTCTCTCCCTCTCTCTCTCTCTCTCTCTCTCTCTCTCTCGTTCGCCCAGCACCCTCTCATTGCTATCGTTCGTACCCCCTCTTGGGGTGCGGCTGCGGCGCAGCGCACGTCCAGGATTTAACGCAGATTAATCTGTTTGTTGATCCAGACGGACCCGCTCCTCCTTTCTCTCTTACACGTCCTCGTTGCCGGCGATTTGTCCGGCTGCGCGAGTGACGGCTGGCGTTTCATCATAGCCTGCGAACGAAACGAGCCATTGCGTCTCCTCGTCCGCCCCCTCGTCGAACCTTTTTTTTCTCCCTGTGTCTCTCTGCTGCGTTTCACTTTTACGGTACTTGCGCCTGCCTCACCTTGACGACGAAGAACGAGAGGGGCGGCGGAGGGTGAACGAAATTTCGACTATGGCGACGGTGAGCGAGCTCCACGGGGCTCTGTAATGAGATGCGAGTAACGGGGCGAGTCGGCTACGACGAGTGCCTGATTTATTTTCTCTCTTCCTTTTTCTTTTCCCTCCTCTGCTGTCTTTTTTTGGCCTCACGTCGAACGACAATGACTCGGCCTCGTGAGGAACAAAAGGAAGCAAGGGCGTCGTGGCAGGGAGGGCAGCCGAGGAGTTGATCGCGGAACGCGCAATTAACATGAAAAGTTCGTCCATCGCCACTTAATGGCCTGCCAGCGGCGCGGAACGACCCGCCGAATTTGTTAGAATTTCCGAGAGGATCGCTGAACGACTTTTTCGAGATCGTCCATCGCAGCGAGCCGTTGATCGCGAAATATTTACGATTGAGTGTCGCGTCACGAGTGCGTCGCGTTTAGCGTGTTTCCTCAATTGACAGCTTAATAGGATGAGAAAATGGGAAAAACAGTGGTCGAACGAGTACAGCTCGTATCGAATGATCATTCCTCTGTGTCGGAGAGATGGGTAAATGACAAATTGTTGACACTGATAAATGGATAATTGTTACAAATGTTTTCGGTTCCTAGCTACGCGTTTATTCTAACCTCCAATTAATAGAGAAGGCGGTTTTTCGTTATGTCGAAGCTTCGTTTCGTCATCCTGAGGTTAAATGTTCTTTCTTCGTGACAAAAACAGAGAGTCGAGCCTCACTTAAAAAAAAAAAAAAAAAAAGAGAAAATTTGCTGCAATTAATAAAAACTTTGGTGCTCTCTCGTGTGATATTTCGTCCTCGGCATTGTTTAGCAAACACGGACGAATCGTCCGGCAGCGATTTGACACGACGATCCAACGTAACGTCATCCTTCTTCCGTGTCGCGCTCCACAGCCGGCGGTCAAAAATCACTCACCGGCGAAACAAGGGAATCGGATTCCGTCGTAGCCGGCGGCGCGGCGACTCGCGCGGCCCAGGATTCGAAATTTATCGCCATGCCATCGCGGCCAACAGTGAGTGGCTGGAACGTGCTGAAGGGCCAAATACGTAAAGAGGATCAGCGGCTATCCCCGGGAGATCCCGGGGCCGCGCGACCTCTGATCTAAAGTTGCGACACATTTGTACGTGACGCGGACCGACAATAGCGGCTGTGGCTCAGTTCGCGCGTGTCGTGCTCTCGCCACTCTAAATCAGAACTGATGCGCCGGAGCTGTCGGAAACGTTGCGCGCGTGTCGCCGAAGTCGCAGAGGGCTCCTCGAGATAGGACCTCGTTTCCATTCCGATCACCGACAACCCCGCCGTCCGAAATAACGCGGCTATTGTCCGCAGGACAGGGTGCAAAATAACGACAGCGAACCGGCGACGCGTCACACCGCACGCACGGCGGAACACCGCGATCGCACACTTGAGCGGGATCAATGGAACCCGTGAGAAAAAGGGAGGGACGAGGCGCGACGACGACGATCGTCCATTTAAAGCGCCGGCTCGTTTATTCCCGCTCTCCATTCTCACGATTCCTCATTCGCGAGTACACCATCTTCCGCTTTAACTCCCGCGAAACTTCGCCTCCGACTGCTGCTTCATCCCCCGCTTCTTCTTTCACCCCTCCGCCACGGTTATTCTCATTACATCTTCGTCGGCTTTTTGTCAGCGATACCGTGAAACTTATCGGGCGCGTCGCTTAATATCCTTAAGCGACTTGGTTTCGCAGTACAGGATAGACGCGCTCCTCCTTCTTGCGAACTTTCTCTCTCCCTCCTCCTCCTTCTCTTTCCCGCTCTTTCTCCGCTCCGCCGTCGCCTCGCCCACGCTGCTTTTTCTCGCACGCAGCATCTTCGCGACTCGCGGCTCCGCGTCCGCGAGCTGACGCCGCGCGGGTTACTCCGTAATTTCCGCAGCGATGCGTCACCGGCGACGTAACTTCTGCCTGTCGCATGCCGCCCCCATCTAGATACGCTCCTGAATTATCGCTCAGAATATTGGCTTCAATACGAGGAACAAGCAAGCAAGCCGCGAGTGCGAGCTCTCGCGCCGTATCCG